CCCCCCGCGTGTGCTCCATTTACCGGTGAGAAACTGCCAAAAGCCTACGCCCCCCCCCCGCTCGGGACACTCGCCTGACAATGTTGAGGTACCCCGGCTCGAGCACGCCGCCCCTTCCCCCCTTTAGCGCCGCACTGTTTCTCAGAAACGCGTCGCTTTCATCGTCGTCGTCGTCGTCGTCTTCTTCCTCAGCGCCCGAAGAAGGGTCCCTGCCCTGGGCACCATTCCTCTTAGTCGAAACCTGCTCCGCCAAAACCAGATACCCCGCAAGCAAAATACCCCGGGGACGACACAGAACGCACTGGATGACCACCACAAAATCCCACCGCTTTCTCGATTGAACCGTCACGGCGGTTGCAACCAGAGCAGCTTAGAAAATATAAATCCATCAACGCGGTTTTTGCAGAGCATTTTTTTTTTTACTTTTGTTAGAAACTCCGCACGGTTACCACGCCAGCTTCTTGCACAGCTGTCTTGTCTCCCGGAACGTCGTCGGGCCAGAGAAACACGCGAGAGCTGCAGGTCACGCGCGCGACCAACCACCGCACGAAAAAGTCCTCGTTCTTGCACCACCACCACCGACCACAGCGAGCTGACCATTTTTGCAGAGTGTTGTGCGTACCTTCTTGCTCTTGGCCGCCGCCGCCGCCGCCGCGGCGGACTTGACCCAGTCGGCCGTCATGTTGGAGCTCGAGAACCTGGAGACCAGGTTCGGCGGGCGGTGACGTGGTAGTGAACATCTCTCTCCGTGCAGTATTGCACCCCAGAGCCACAAATAAACTCACATTGTAGGTCGTGCTATTGTGTTGGGAATCAAACACACAAGTTTCCGGTGCGCTGCATGACTCAGAAAGCGGGGCTTGAAAGTTTGAAAGCCCCCGCCCACCCACACAGGGGGGCAAGTGGTCTACGACGAAAGGTCGGCACTCGCAAACGCCGCTGCTACTGTTAACACTCTCAAACAAGAACTTTCGAAAATTACCACAACCGCTGTGAGACCCCTGCCCGCCGTAGCGCTAACCGTCCACAAAATTCGTCCCCAGCAGGAGGTGGCGGGGGGGGGTGGGGCTAATCATTCCGTTACTGCCTTGAGCTTTGACCATGCATCCTTACCGACAACTTCCCAGCGGGAGGTGCACCACGAACCAGAACATGGGGTACCAAGTATTTTTTTACGATCAAAACAAGCATATGTACCTCGAGCGCAGCCGCTGCTCAAACTCGGGCCCTGCGAGGTCCGCCTCGTGGTGGTTGTTCCGGAGCTTCTTGAGGCGGTTCTTAGCCGTCACGTCCACCTGAAGCAGCAGCAAAAAGCAGCAGCAGCAGCTGTAGCATGACGGCGATGGCGGAGAGCCCACCGACCCGCAAGCACGGTGTGCAACCCAGGGAGATAGTTTGGTGTGCATCAATCGGCACGGCAAAGAGGCACGTATCTACACGCGGAAGCCTACTCTGGCCGATTGTTCTTGACTGCCAGGTACGTACACGTCGAAACCTGCTCAGTAAAATACTGCTGCCGTTGTTCTTGACTGCAAGTCCCACAGGGCAGCACGCCAAGCTCACTCCAGGCTGACTAAAAAGAACAACGACAGCAAGCTGATCAACAATCGTTTCCGTTGGACCAATCCACCTGGCTCACCGGAAGCTACTGAAAGTCTTTGGGTTCTCGGCGACGTCCAGCAATTCAGAAGTGCTCAGCCGTCTCTATTGCCTGCTATCTGTCCGCTGGGAGTAGTGAAATTATTTTTCCACCAACTCTACCATGCAACCCTTGCTGTTGGAAAGATCGCTTGAAATACAATTCCACAGGCCCCGCCGGCGCTATACCTTCAAGCGGGCATCGTCCTCGTCGATCCAGGCCGGTGCGCCGCTCTTTTTCCCGCCGCCTGTAACGATGGCCGCCCCGTCCGCACCAGCACCAGCACCATCGAAATCGGCATCACCTTCTACATCTGGGGGCGGCGGCGGTAAGCGGGGACGGCCGGTAGGAGGGGACAGCGGTAAGAAGACGGAGGCACGTTGCTCGGGGTCATGGCCTGCCAAGACCTGCATGCTGCGCCGAAGAAGAACGGGCGTGCCTACGAACCTTTGCCCGAGAGGAGAAAAGCGACGGCAAGTTGCACAGGCAATGGCTCACTCAATAGCCCTCACGTCAAGCATTGCAACAGAGGCTGCTGCATCAGCAAGTCGCCTTTGCGGCCCCGGCCAATTGCATGAGAGTGGGCAACAATTGTGCTCACAACGGCCGGGCACGACACTGGAGACGAAGCGCTCCTTTCCTGTTGTCCGTCGGTAACAGCAGGTGTTGTTGTTGTCTTCACATCAAAGAACCGTTACGTTCTCTCTACCCAGTACCTTCTTCTGTCGGTACTACAATAGTCTAACACTTGACGCGGTCGAATTCCGTGGTTACGGGCTAAATTACCCTGAAAAGGTACACGAAAATCAAATGGACCCGAAGGGTCCGAAAGTTAATAGAAACCAACGACAGATAGTCTAGGACACTTCGGCCGCCTCTTGAACACGCAATACGAGGTAACCATAGACTGGGAAAAAAGAAACCAAAATAAAAGGAAAAACGCGCAGCAGGAAAAAATCGTGGATGTGGATCGATCACCTTCATAAAAACCGCCCACGAACTCGGCCTCTCTAGCCCCGGTGGCCTCCTTCGCGCCGGATTCCTCGCCGAACGACCTGAGCAGGCCGCTCTCTCCCTTGCCGAACACCAGCGCTCGGATGCGCGCCTCTTCTTCGCCCTCCTCCCCCTCGCTCTGCCCGTCAAGGCAACAACAACAACAACAACAACAACAACAACAACAACAACAGGTCGTCTCCGGCAGTAAGGACATGGAATATTTTACGGCTGAGTTGTGACCAGCACCTTGCAACCCCCAATGTACTCGGGGTCCGAGATGGTATTTCGGACATAAAAATATGTTGGTACCTTGCTGAACACGCTCAAACGACCGATAACATATCCAGCAGGAGGCGACCAGAAAGGATCTCTCACAAGGTACCATGATGGAATTTGGAGCTTTTGAAAAAGGCAGACCACTTGCAGTCGCGCATTGTGATTTTCAATAGGTTTGGTATCAAAAGTCACCCCACGACGACTCGATATTTACGACCAGTATACAGCAGTACTGCTGTAGAGTACAGCGGGGCGCATTTGAGCCCTAGACTAGTCTATGCACATGATACCACATGTATGATTAAGCGCCAGTCGGCGATGGTGCGTTGCAAGGGGGATGATATATTCCGTCTGGAGGCGTAACTCTTTCGTCTGTCTCTGCTTCGCGCGTGTTGCCTTCACACACGACAGGCTCAAGACAACTGCTTGACTGGGGCGAACGTGCGACGATAACACATGCAATAGACCGATCTCTCCTCGCTGAGCAACAGTCAGGACACTTGCTGCTTCCGCCCGTGGTGGTACATGCTGTCACAGCCACGGACAATGCTCCGCACACCTCAAAAAGCGGTTTGAAATGCCCGCGTGGATTCGACGCCGCCCTCTCTCTCTCTAATACACTCGCCGGGCCCACCTCATAGCCATGCTTCTCCTCGTGTTGTTGGTGTGTTGAATCCACGGCACCGCCATCACCACCACCGCCATCGAGAGCAACCCGGGAACGCTTGCGGCCCTTGCTGGACACGCGAGAATCTCGGTCATCTACCATGACTGCTGCTCTTCCCGTTCCGCCGCTGTAGCTCCACGAAGCGGGAGAGAACAGCCTGCCTCGAAACACAAAACTCGGGTGGGAGATGGTTTAACACAAGAAAACTCCCTAGCTAGGTGTAGATGGCTGCTGGCGCGATGCAAAGCCAGCCAGAGTCGGCTGCGCGAGGCCGGCCAAAAAGCTTGAGAGGGGCACAACGGTTGTGATTATGCTGGTATCCCTAAACATTGACGGTGCCCCAGACAAACAGCGGCAGACTAGAGTCTCGCCACATCTCTGATCTGTTCCCCTTCCCTTGTCCCGGACGTGCAAGGAGCAATCAGGTCAGGACTAGGGTGAGGGTTTCATGGAGACAGAGGGAATCTGTTAGATTTGCCGTGCTTGTGGCCTGGTGGGATAGGGTACTACAACAAGCTGCCGATCCAGGGAGCCATCCCGATCGCCAGCAGGCAATACGGGAAGAGGTCGTGCGCCGAGTGTGCTCGCGGTTGCGGAGGTTTCTCGTTGGTGAGCCATGGGAGGGGTACCCAGCGTGCTGCTTTGCCTTTGGTGTCGAGGGGGGTGCTCGACGGCGACGGTGGCTGCGGCGCTGACGTTTTTCCCTCCAAGCCCTCCATGCTACTCGGTGAGAGATCGCAAGCACCACCGGACAGATACTCTAAAACGTTGATTCCGCTCTTGGACTTTTTGGATCAGTTTTTTTTCTGTCTCTCCATCACCCTCTCCCCTTCCGCCCGCAAACCTGTTTGTCATTTGAGTTGAAGTTTGGAGCAACTGCTGTGTCAACGTGTTGTAATGATCGCCGCTGGAGCAGCGGAAGGATATTCCTTGTCGAGAGCAAATCCTGTCGTCCTCAAAGGGTTGTGCGCATTGACAATTTACCGGGGTTTTGTTAGGTAGCCACTCATGTCCGGAACGCCCCGAACTCTTCGGTTCTATTTAGCATAGACTATAGACTAAATATATCTACGTAATCCCTCCGAACCCTTGGTTTTTGCTCAAAATGCATGCATGCACACAGGATGTTTATCAGTGAGCGAACCCTGTGTGCCACTGCTTTTTGTAATAACTGCTGTGTGGCCGTTCATCATAGATCGTGAGCGGGGGGTGTTACTGCCGTTGTAATGCATAGCACATTGCCGGTCACGTTCCCACATCGAGCGAACTTGCAAAATATCGCGCTGGCGCAGATGTTCATACGTACTGTATGTAGTCGGAGGTGTGATACTGTCCGTCCGACTACAATCTACCACTACAAATAGCTTTGGCTTTTGCAGTGTACCACGCACATGTGACAACTTGTTTTTGGTGCCAATACAAACGAGTCCCGAAGAGGGATTGGTGCTTGACGGTGACTTTTCGACGTACAGTACTCGTCGTACAGCAGGATCCACAAAAACACACAAACCCATGCACCAGGTGTTATTTTTTTTCATCAAAAACGCACCTGTGTTGTGTCGACCTGCGTACTGCTGTAGCACGGCGGTGCAAACGAAGCAGACCAAACAATAATTCGTCTTCCCACGGAGGGGAAGCGAAATCTACGCGTGCAGGTATGTACGCATATGTAAGATTGGACATTGTGGACTTCACTACATACTATTGCCGTCGTTTACGCCCCAGCCCCCTTACAGCAGTTTACTTCTATTTATGTACCTACCGCCTCAAGCTTTCAGCTGCGCGAAGTCTGGATTTTTGCCCTTTTGTTTTCAACACAGATCGACAGGCAAGCCATGTCCCTTGACAGCAGGCAAGAATATTTTCCTTCACAGAAAGGTATGCACACTTGTGGTGAAAAATACTTGTTGTGAAGCCCTGCGAAATCCGGGCGGAGATCCCTGTTGCACCCAAGCTTGCAATAGTTCCCCTGTCTGTGTAGCACCCACCTTGCGCCTGCTGCGCCTGTTGCATAATACAATTCTTGTAGTACACCATCCGCAACAGCAGGGGGTAATCACAAGGCGCCACATGCTGCAGCCATCCGGAGTCTTGAGTAACTTGGAAGTCCCGAAAAGTTCTGCCAGCGTGCTGCTCTTCTCGCGGGCGCTGTCGAGCTCTGTAACGACCTTCACGCGGGTCAATGCCCTACTGCTGTCAAAAGGCCCGAATGGTTCAATGCGTAGCTTACAAATTGCTCCATCACAAGAAGATTGGTCACCCTGTCTCGCGGTGAATGAATTTCGTGATGCTATGTATTGCGCATCACGAAGAATGGAAACACACTGCTATAATACTGCATGCACATACCAACGGGTGGCGCGTGTTGCTGTGCGTTCACCAGCGTGTCGCCCTCGTCGAACGGATGTTTGAGACATGCGAAGTTCCACAGAATGTACGAGGCTATGCATACAGCTAGCTGTCGGTCGATCCGAAAAGAATGTGGTCGGAAAGGAAAGCGCGTGTCGGGTGACGTCCGCGACTCGCAATGATGAATATGCTCCGTGAACGACGCCCTCCTGTATCCTTTCACCACGCGGTGAAAGGCAGGCCTTGTATTGAACGCCTGGAGGCGTTGGCCTACTGTTTACGTGACGTGATCGCCCGTGGCACCCGAAGTGACACCCCCATTTGTCTCTTCTCGATTGTAGTTCCTCGTTCCTACATTGCATACGTGTGAATCGGCGGCGGTCAGATCCTTGCGAGTATTTTTTCGCAGGTCGGAGTTTGGAATCTCGAGCCGTACACAAAAATCCTACTCTTCTGGGGGGGGGACGGTTACGCTTTCATCGATACATGTAATCGCTTGCTGCCATTTCTGAGCCACAGTGAAGAGCCGGATAAACGTATATGTCCCACGAGAGGGCTCGCGGATTCAAATTTTGGAAGCACGGCTACCCACCACCCGATTTTTTCGGACGCTTCATCCAGTTCGGTCAAGGCGATTATTGTGTAAGGATTTAGAATTGGAATAGTAAAGTCTATGTGTTCGTCAATGTATAGGCTTGAGTATAAAAATATATATACTGTACCAGTATGGTATATGCTACGACGCGTGTATGGGATTAGGTATGTGTCCCAAAATCCTACATTATCGATTATCATGTACCACAGGTTTTACTAACCACACATTCTACAACCCGCAAGAGGTGTACAAGTGTACATATACACATACTAAATCCCATACAACAAGATATACGCTATAGCATACCAACACCATTCACGGTGGTATATCACAGACCCCCCCCCTATCTCCGTTTGGTCCTTAATCCAGTCTGGGGTAGTGCCTCCAAGATTTGAATCCGCGAGCCCTCTTGGCCCCACTGCTGTTCCGCCCTCTACAGCCACAGATGTCTGATGTGCGAATTGGGCTGCACACGGAAACCAGATGGCTTAGTATACCATGTCATAGAACGTGTCGCTGCTAGAACTGCAAACGCTGTGAGTTAGCCAGTTCCGCGGTATCGCGTTTTTTTTTTAAATCTCTCCCCTTCTTATTCGGGTCGCCAAGGAGGGATAACAAGAGCCGTCACGTCTCCGGGCCCTGTTCCCGTGTGCGTGCAGGTTTCCTGTTTTTCGACGCATGTCTAGTGTCTAAGTGTTAATAGACTACGATACACAGTATGTAGTCCTTCATGCCCCGCTTGGAAGAACCGCGATCTCTTCGTCAACATGATATCTGCGTGACACAGGCGGCATAGCAGCAGCACGAGCAAAAAAGCCGTCGAGGTGGTTCTACAGCAGTTGTTGTTGTTGTTGTTGTCTTCACATTAAAAACCATCCCGGTCTCTCTATCCAGTACCTCCTTCTGTCTCAATCTCTCCGTACTAATCCATCACTTGACTCGGCCAATTTCCGTGGTCACAGGCTAACGTACCTAGAAAAGGTATACCAAAATAAAATGGACCCCAAGGGTCAGCAGAGCGATAAAATACAAGAAAACAAAATATAATCAGAAACAAATAAAATAAAATAAAATAAATAATTAGACTAGTGGAACGGCCGCACCACCAGCCTGGGGGGGTAGCCTCCCACTACATGGAGGCAGGTCGACGGCCAAAGGAAGGGGCGGGGGTACGTGCCAGTAAAAAACAAAACAAAAGACAAAATAAAACAGAATAAAGCAAAGACGAGGACACAAACAAACTCGCACAGAGACAGGGATATCCCTAGAGACAGTCTGAACGCGACAGCAAACGGGGGAGAGGGCAACAGAAAAATTAGTCGTTGAAATTCGACCGCAACATGTCACGTCACGCGGTCGGTCTCTTCTCGCTTGCTTTCTTCCCGCCGCGCCGTTTCCTTCCGCCCCCCTACCGCCCCGTTGATTGGTGCCGTATCTAGACTATTTTTGGGCCCGCTGTCTCCTCGTTTGATGGCTCGTTGTCGGCTGGCCTCCTCCTTGCCCTTGTGCCAAGAGGCCATGAACCTCTCAGCTCCCTGTAGCACCCCCGCGTGCCACGGTACCCCCCCCTCCACCTTCGCCGCCTCACTCCAGACTAACTTCGGGACTCCGAAGACGCTCGGCTTGTCGGTCGTGGAGCCGTACCTGGCTTCGAACATCTTCATGTCGTCCTTCAGGCATGTCAGCCAGTTCTGCTCCGGGTTTCCCCGGCCCGGGTCCTCCCCTCCCACCAACTCGCCGAACATCAGCCGTTTCGGAAGCCGCCCGTCCGGCTGTCTTGCCACGGCCCCCGCAAAGAGCAGTAGCTTGGTCCGATTCCCGTTTTTGTTTGAGGGCTGAAAATCGACAACCGGTTTATCACCATCGAGCGTGCGCTCAAGCTGTGCACATGCTAAGTATTCATGCATGCCAGACCCCATCTGACACTGGCGCTATTTACATACTTCATCCAGTATACCAACAGAAAGTCACCTTCCCGTGCTGCTTCACGCTCTGTTTATTGTGTGTGATGTGCGTTTGGTTATCACAGCTGAAAAGAAAGGAGGGGAGCGAGGAGCTGGAGATGGTCGTTGACGAAGTCTTGGAGGTGCGTTGCGGCTTCTGCTGTTCTGGTGGCATCGATTATCTCAAAAGGGCGTGTTTGTTGTCGATGGATGAAAACAACTTTGTCTATCCTCGTCTCTTCTCTCTGCCGATGCTGCTGTTGTGACTGTTGCTGTTGCTGTTTTATGGGCTGATTTTTTCGTGTAGTCAAGTTGTCCAACGTGCTACTGCAGAGAGAGGTGCGATGCTCCGTGCCCAGCAGCACCCACACAAGGATTTGTCGGTAACGCCCGCCCGTTTCACCCTCGTCTCTTGGCCTCCTCGGGGTGCAAGGGTTGTTTTTCGTCAGGACACGTCATTATTTTCTAGTACATGTGCGCAAATGTGTGGCCTTCCTCCGACCCCGGCTGCAATGCGTCCCAGAAATTTCATCAACCGAAAGATGTAAAAGACGGACCTTCAAAATGAAAGGACAGCCAATAAAAATATACCACTTAAAAATAAACGCGATAAGGCTGTTTCTTATAGAGCCGGATTCTTGACCTGAAAAACCTCAAAATCCCGATATGGCCAAAATCGGGATTCTTATAGACCCGGATTCTTTAGTTTTTCGGGTCAACATTTTCCAGTTTCAGAAATCCGGTCGACTTTCACCCGGATTCTGATGCAGAATCCGGGTGAAAGCCCAACCGGATTTTCTCACCCGAAAAATTCAATTCAAACGCTGGTTACGCCGCCCGGCTCACACACACACGCACACACACAGCACAGCACAGCACAATACAGCGGCTACCGCAGATGCGTGTCGCAGTGCCGGCGCTCTTAGGGCTGCTGGGCGTCGCCCGCCTCGGCTGTGCACTTGTATTGCCCGCGGGACGTGTGGTTCACCGCCAAATGGCCGAGACAGCAACCGAAAGTGGTGGTATCGATGTGCCGGCTGCCTTCGCCACCACGGCGGTAGCTACTGCCTCCCTGCAGCAGCTGCAACGTAGCGTCGCCGTCTGGGACGTTATCATGGAAGACTTCGAAGACGATCTAGAGCTGGATACAGAGGACGATGAAGCGTCGAGGGAGGTGAAGAGGCGGCGTGTGTACGTTCGTAAAGACTACACGAAGTCGGGATGGTGGCAGGAGCTCATGGAGCTGCGAGAGACAGGCGAGACAGATCACACGACCCGGGAAGCGCGGCGTTTTCGCAACAACTTCCGCGTCCCCTACCCGTTTTTCGTGCACTTGGTGGAGCTGGTGAGGGACAGAGACTGGTTCCCAACCGGGGAGTCGGATGTCACGGGTCGCCAAGCCGTCCCTGTT